CCTTCTTTAGCTAGATGCAATCATCAGTATTATGACCATAGTCTTTGTGAAAGTCGCTATATTTGGTTGGGTTGTGCCTTCGAGGGCCTGACTTCATCCTAAAAGGCCATCTAACGAATCTCTCATTTTTGACCTCATGGAGAACCTGAGAAATGGTGACACTGAGGGGGGTGAACTGACCTGACACATAATGTGGTTGAAGCTCCTGAGGTGGGGGCCCTAGACGGTCCTTGACTTTCCCTTTCCTTTTGGGGGATGGTTCTCTCTCTCTTTGGAGATCGATCTTGCCTTCTTTCTTTCCTCGGGTTGTGATCTCTCTTTTTCTTCTCGCCCTCATTTGAGGTCGACGTATTCCCTTTCATACGGAGTGCCTCCTCTCCGTTTATGTATTTTTCTTCTTTGGTGAGAAGCTCGACCATTGTTGCTGGGGGTTCTTAGCGATTGAGAATAGTAAATCTTTTGACTGGAATCCGAGTCCCATCATAAAGGTGGTTAGGGCGAACTAGTCATCTATATTTTCAACTTTTAGGAACTTTTGGTTAAACCTTTGTACATAGATTCTAAGAGATTTATGGGGTCCTTGCTTGACACTCAAGAGATGGTAAGATGGTTTCCGATAAGTTCATTCCACAATGAAGTGAGACACGAATTGTATGGAGAGTTTTTGGAAAGAGGAAATTGATGCTGGCAGTAGCTTATTGAACCATGCTATCACCGACCCTTTGAGGGTTATAGCAAAAGCTCAACAGCGGATGGGATCTGGATATCTATGGAGCTTCATTTGATTTTTGTACGAGTTTAGGTGTTCTATGGGGTCTTTAGTCCTATCGAACGCCTTTATTTGCAGCATTCTGAACTTTTGGGGCAGGGGGAAGTGTAGGATTTTCGTAGTAAATAGGGATTTAGTTTGTTAGACTAGGGCGTCTATAGTGATAGGGTTTTTCCCTTTCACTACTTCTTTGATGTTCCCTAACTCCTGTTGGATTTCTTGAAACCTTTGCTCTTAGAATTGGTCTATGATGTCATGTTGGGGAGGAGGAAGATGATCTTTTCTTAGAATGACTCTGGCATGGTTGTGAGCCTCATCGTCTGTTCTCTTTTTTGGCTGTGGTTGGTGGTGGTTTACTCCTAAGTGACTATGGTCGTGGATGTCTGTGACTCCATTAGGTGGTGGTAGGTTTTGACGATCCTAAAGAGGATGGTAGTTTTGAGTTGATTGTGGAGGTTTTACAGGTGGCACGAGTGGGGCCTGATGGAGATGATGTGCCTCGATCCATGCTACGAGGTCCTGGTTTTACTTTATCAACTGCATAGTGATTAACACTAAAAAGTGCGTAAATGAATTGGGGTTTAGGGTTAATTATGTGCGTTAATTAATTTAAAGTATTTTATTTAGATTATATTATGATTAATGTTTGAATTATATGTTTTGTAGGGTTTTATATGAAATTAAGGAAATTTGGACAGTTAAAGTGAAAAAGAAGAACAAAAGAGGAAGGCAAAAGGAAATTTAGTAAGATCACCATCCGGATGGTGAAACCAGCATCCTAATGGTGGCCAAAGTCAAAAAGTCAACAAAGGAGGCTATTAGGCAAAAATCCAGTGAACTAGGACCGTCTGGACGATGGTGGTGGCGTCCGGACGGTAGTCTTGATCGCCTCAACTTCAAGCTCCTCTCCCATTGGTCCATTGATGCAACAAAGCTCCTGGTTGGTCCTTTTGGGCTTCTATGCCTTAACCATGCCTTGATGCCTATAAATAGGCTTGTTTTGGGGCATTTGAACAAAGTGTTCTTCCACATTTGAAGGCAAGACTCTAGGAAGAAATTACCCTACCCTAAACAGCCTTAGCAAAAAATTATCTTCTTCTACATTTCTTTTTCTTCCTTTCTACTTAGAGGGTTGAACCTCTCTCATTTTATTTCCCTAGTCGATAATAAGAGTAAGGGTGTTTCAATTATTCCTCGGGAAAGGATTCTTTACGTTTTATTTTGTATTTATGTCATTAGTAGGAATGAAATTGTCTTACTCTTCTTATTTGTCTATAGCAATGAAAAGTGAGTAGTATTGGTTGAGTAATAAAAATGTTGATGTTTTGTTTATGCTTTAATGTTTATATCTCCCTTAAGTGATGGATGATTTTCATTTCTATTTGGTGTCATATTACTATATGCTCATGGTTACAAGTACTGAGCTAAACTTATTGCTATATACCATTTCATCTATACTTTATTATGTTACTTCATTCATGATACAATTTTGCACATAGTTGGGATTTATGTAATAGTCAGGCGATTGGTTATACACGGGTTAAATCTTATCATACCCAATGTTTTTGATTCAATGCATAAACCGGAACTCCGTCTTCATTGAATCATAGACTTGTTGATCAAATATTTATAGTAAACCTTTTGAATGGTTCACCTTCAGGTTTACTAGGGTTAGTTGGTTGTTGTAAGGTGTATAGACCTTTTGACTAATTTAACAGTTGTTATGATATGGTTCAACTTATGTATAAAACCTACCGGTTAACTTTCCACTAACATGGGGGTTAATTGCTGTAAGGTAGCATTTTCATAGTTAAGCAATAAAATGCATGTTGCATCCCCGAACTAAAGAGTACATTTTCATTTGTTTTAATCAAAGTTTAATTTAAGTGTTTACTTGTTAGTTTTAAGTTCACATCACAAGCTGCTATAATTCACACAATGCGCACGACAATTTCACCTTTTATGTTTTAAGTTCCAATAGATAACTCTATGTGGATTCGACCTCAGACTTCACCAACTAATATTACAACTTGATCACTTATATTTGGGTGTACGATTCATATCAGGCCACATAGTGGTTCGGCGGTATGTTTCCAACTCATTGATAGGAGTTGGGTCCATCGCCGGAGGGTCATTCTCAACGTTTATCGTTGGGATCAGGAGGTTTTCTAGCTAGTTCTCATGAACGGTATCTTGCTGGTTCTACAAGGTTTGTTGGTTAGCATGAATTTACTCATATTTCGAGTAGAGACCAACAAACTAGCAAGTGGATGAAGAAAACTTAAGAAGAAATGATGAAAATCGTTCCCATTGATGGTGCGCGAATCGAATGGACTAGACTACAGAATAGCTTGGGGTGTGACCCAGCGAGTGCGTGTGTTAATGTGAGAGTGTGAATGTCAATGCTATGTATATGATGCAAGGAGAAGACAACGGTATGAGTGGTTCGCCTTAGCCGAAAGACTAAGGTTATGTTTACTGTAAGAGAGACTTTTGCTCCTTGGTGATTGTATTACTTGGGGAAGAAGATTGTTGTTACAGGGTGTTTGGCTTGAAGCCTTTTACAAGATATCACCTAGGTTTTACTTGGTAATTTTTCGATTGGCACTCTACGTGTACTGTAGCACTGTTGGTTATTCATACAACTGGTAGTTAGAGTTTTGTGTTGGTTTCTTTTGGCTGATTTTGTGGTCTCCTTTGTGTTTGTCTTTGTTTTGGAGCCGTGGTCCCTGACGCCTTTCTACACACGTTATTGGCCAACTGCAGTACATGATTCGTCTCCATTACCTATGAGTTTTTGTTCATCAAAGCCATCAGATAATGTTCCCTTTTTCCTTGTCCACATGTCAAGCTGCAACTTTTGCAAACTGGCCCAGTGCCATGCTCTCATATCCCGAGTTGGTACCTATATCGAGTTTGTTAACATCGAGTTTCATTGGAACTGGACCGCAACCCAGTTCGAGCCTAATAAATGTTGTCTGGATGAGCTCCTGGGGCCACATTTTGCAAGTCCATAGAGTCTTGGGCTCTAGAGAGATCTAGACTGAAACCTATCATTACCATTGAACAAGATAAAAAAAATAAAATACGAAAATAAAGAATTTTTAAATCACAATTACTAGTATTTAAAAAAATAGTAATGCTACATTGACCAAATTTTAGGACTAAATTTGGAGCTCAAATGACATGACAGTTGATTTGAGATTCTTTATTTGGTGCCACATCATTTGAGCTCCAATAAAAGCTCCAAATAATATGCTGTCATGTTATTTGAGCTTTAAATTTGGTCAGCATAGCATTATTGTTAAAAAAAAAGTAGTATTATTTAAACCTAAAAATTTGATTTAATTTGTTGATATAATAATGTGATTTCATATGAATCATTAGATCAACACCAAGTTTCAATGTTTAATGGAGTCTATAGTAAATCCAAAAATCATAATGAATTAAGTTAACAAATTAAAAAAATGCCAATGGGGGACAAATTGGGTCGTTTCTTCGCTAGCATTGGTTTGAACCTATGGTCATCCGGTCGCCAGTGTGTAGCAACCAAGTTGACGATAAAGCTAGCAACTTTCCCGACGCCATTTTAGGAGGTGGAAATTGATGTTCCCGGTTTATTTTTTTGGGAATTTATTCGTGTTTTTCACGCTCCGGGACTTTCTTGTTTTCTTGTAGTGTAATTTGCTATATGCATACTTTTAAATGTTTGATTGCTACTTTCCCCTGTCTTTCGTTTTAAAAAAAAAAAAAAAAAAACTTTCCACTGGTTGCTGATGGTTGTCATGTGTGTTGTTGCGTTGTGTTCTCTTGTGGACATTTTTGGTCTTTTCATATTTCGTTAACTTTCTGCAGAAATCAGCTAGCTGAAAGATGTGCCCAATGGGAAACATTTTTAAAGCAAACAACACATCATTTCGTCGGAAAACTCTCGATAATTGTTTTTTCTGTGTAACATATTTCATAATATTCAGCTTACTCTACCAAAGGAGAGAGAAAGAGCAGAAAAAAAAATTACATTTTATCAATAGCCTATAATTTTCACCTGCTAGAAAAATCAAGAATATGTGAGTTTTTTTTGGTATCTTTACATGCAACCACAGCGTCCGGAGGGGGGATGGTTGGGGTGGAGATGGCTGCCGGAGTTACCGGTGGGGGTGGTGATGGTAGATGAAGTTGCAGTCGGGGGCCTGGGGCTGTTATGGACAATTCTCTCTATGTCACCGATTATTCACCTACTTTTCTTGGAAGATTCAGAAGGAAGTGTTCTGAACACCTTGTCCCACAAGGGAGAAGTGATTCCGAATCCCTTGTCCTGAATTCTGAAGTGATGGTTCATGTGGAATCTCTGCCAATAAGCAAACACAAAATATGGAGAGCATTAGTGCACCAGTAATATTCCTATCAATGAGTATATTTTAGGAGACAAATTGCAATTTAAATCGTTGAACTATGATCCCAATACCATTTTATCTCCTCTAACGAGTTTGTGATATCGTTTCCTCAATTTTTTGAACTAATTTTACATTATCTCAAAGCCAAATGTCTGATATGTTTTAGATGAAAAAAGAAACAAACTCCATGTATAATTTTTTCTTTGTTTTAAATTTGAAAAAGCGAGTAATTTGTATGCTTAGTGTTTTTTTTTTATGAACACACAAGAAGATACATGCATATTTTGAGTACAGTATGGTCAAAATTTGTTTGATTAGTTACCTTGAGATCATACGACATTCCTTTTGATGGCTTTCCGTGGTGCAGGTAATAATGAGTGCAATCGTAGATTATGTATCCAAACAAGCCACCTCCAAGAAAAGCAGGGGCAGCCGATGGAGGTAGAAGAAGCTTAACTAGATGCCACAACTGAANTTTAAAAAAAAAAAAAAAAAAACTTTCCACTGGTTGCTGATGGTTGTCATGTGTGTTGTTGCGTTGTGTTCTCTTGTGGACATTTTTGGTCTTTTCATATTTCGTTAACTTTCTGCAGAAATCAGCTAGCTGAAAGATGTGCCCAATGGGAAACATTTTTAAAGCAAACAACACATCATTTCGTCGGAAAACTCTCGATAATTGTTTTTTCTGTGTAACATATTTCATAATATTCAGCTTACTCTACCAAAGGAGAGAGAAAGAGCAGAAAAAAAAATTACATTTTATCAATAGCCTATAATTTTCACCTGCTAGAAAAATCAAGAATATGTGAGTTTTTTTTGGTATCTTTACATGCAACCACAGCGTCCGGAGGGGGGATGGTTGGGGTGGAGATGGCTGCCGGAGTTACCGGTGGGGGTGGTGATGGTAGATGAAGTTGCAGTCGGGGGCCTGGGGCTGTTATGGACAATTCTCTCTATGTCACCGATTATTCACCTACTTTTCTTGGAAGATTCAGAAGGAAGTGTTCTGAACACCTTGTCCCACAAGGGAGAAGTGATTCCGAATCCCTTGTCCTGAATTCTGAAGTGATGGTTCATGTGGAATCTCTGCCAATAAGCAAACACAAAATATGGAGAGCATTAGTGCACCAGTAATATTCCTATCAATGAGTATATTTTAGGAGACAAATTGCAATTTAAATCGTTGAACTATGATCCCAATACCATTTTATCTCCTCTAACGAGTTTGTGATATCGTTTCCTCAATTTTTTGAACTAATTTTACATTATCTCAAAGCCAAATGTCTGATATGTTTTAGATGAAAAAAGAAACAAACTCCATGTATAATTTTTTCTTTGTTTTAAATTTGAAAAAGCGAGTAATTTGTATGCTTAGTGTTTTTTTTTTATGAACACACAAGAAGATACATGCATATTTTGAGTACAGTATGGTCAAAATTTGTTTGATTAGTTACCTTGAGATCATACGACATTCCTTTTGATGGCTTTCCGTGGTGCAGGTAATAATGAGTGCAATCGTAGATTATGTATCCAAACAAGCCACCTCCAAGAAAAGCAGGGGCAGCCGATGGAGGTAGAAGAAGCTTAACTAGATGCCACAACTGAATAAATAGACCGACAATGGTAAATAAGCAGAGGAAGAAAGCCTACGCTCTAGATACATTACAAAAAATATTAGAGGATTGCAGTCATGTTGTGCTGGACTTCTGGATCGGAATACTGATTAACATGGTTAGTTGGGGTATAGCGGTGATGGGTCTTTTATGAGATTGAAGACAGTTTCTGCTTCTATACATGTAATCTTGTCCTCGCATGTTTAGAAGCTAGTTTCATGACTCCTATAATGAAATAACTTACTGCTGCACCAGGGCTTACCTTCTAGCATATTTTCCTCAAGTATATTTTTCTCTAATTTTGCGAAATACTAGATTATCTGTTACCAATTCGAGTGGGCTCGCTGTTTATGAATGGTATGTTGGATTTAGAAAAACAAAGAAGCACCGAGGTTGGTACTGCACCAAAACCATTGTGAAGAAACAAATAAAACTTCAAAGTTTCTTATAGACACTACCTAATCGTGAAGAAGGAAGTGTCAAAAGATAAAAGAGTTATCAGAGTAGAACATACTGGCACCAATATGATTGCAGTTCCAGCAGGTGGAAAAACAAGTCGAAGTCCATCCATGGGGTGCTTGTGATGGCAGCCATGAATAAGGTAGTGAATGGTGTTCCCCCTGCAAAATTTACTCAAAATTATATAAGGAATGGTAGAATCCAGACAATGATTAGTCTCCCTATATTTTCAACATCTACATATACTTCTATGTGGTTTTGGACGTACCTAAAGCCATTACAATTGCCATGAAAATTGTCATATGCCAAAAGTCAACATTTTAATAGCAAAGCACAGCAAAATGATTTTACACCCTCATATATATCATATTGACTATTTTAGTGTGACACATAAGTTTTATACTAGGGAGAGTGAAGTGCATCTTTCTAGAATATAGAAAGATAAGATAAAACGTTACTAGGTCAAATCATATAAAGGTAAAAATATATATAACCGGAAAAAGAGAAGAAAGGGAAGAGAGAGACAGAGAGAACTGACCAATAGTTTTTGGTTTTGATGTGGAAAAGAAAGCGGTGCAAGAAGTACTCGAGCAATGTCCAAATGAAGATGCCAGAAACCAATGTTACTGCTAGCTGAGGAGAAGGAACGCCCATCTGGACAGACTTTGAAACAAACCACCATACAACTGGAATCCAAATTAGTGGTATTGCCCACCATACAGTCCTGGTCAGGAACTGTTTCAAGTTACAAAGGTACAAGTTAATGAGATCCAATAAAAAACCTGTGATTGGTCTAAAAAAATTGGGATCAATAATGAACCTAACACATTGAATCACAAATTAGAATAATGGCATGACTTGATTGGGTTGTAATTTTTAGTTTGGTACCAATATAAAACTAAGTGACTGATAAATTAACGTAGGATTTTATATGTATATTTCACCAATTGTGCAGCAATGAAGAATGTAGAGAACCAAGATCAAAATGATACCTCCAGAAAATTATTTGCAAAAAACCGGGGGGTTTCCTTGCTGATAATAGGCTGGTGAACCCATTCCTCATAAGCTTCTCCAAGATGGCCAACCTGTCAATAAGAAGGTGGTTGAAAATGGTATCAAAGTCTCGCGTTCCAATCTCTTCATTACTTTCATAACTGAATAATTCGCAAGAGCTTTAGCCAAAATCTAGTGCGGATGTCAGGTACAGTGTTTTTTTTTAAAAATGAAACTGTAAATTTTATTAATAAGGAATTTCTGAAATTAGGAGAGGCATGACAAAATCAGGTGTTTGTCCTCTCCATACAAAAAAGTTGTTAAGAACAAAAGCATGTCTAGCTACATGATGAGCTATAGTGCGTTGAATAGTGGATCCATGACAATACCGAAACTTTCGCAAGTTGTTTTTGATTTCTGCCAAAATGGCTCCCAATGGATCAAAGTCTATATCCTGCCCACAGATTGATGTCATTCCCCCCACTGAATCTCCCTCCAATATGATGGCATCACAGCCTTCTTCATAAGCAAAACGAATAGGATCTCTTGCAGAGATCATTTCCTCCATATGGGCAACAGTACTCGCAGTAACCTTCTTGGACATACCCGCCACAAATTGACCACACTCATTTCTGATCACTACCCCAACCCTCACGGCTTTTTCAAGTTCGAAAACTGCCCCATAAAAATTGACTTTTAAAATATTTGTGTTACACACCCTTTCCATTTAAGTTTTTGGATGAATTAGTGGTTTAACAAAAGTCTTGTAAAAAGATGCGAACAAGAGCAAAGAATGTAAAAACTTATATGCACGAGAGAGGGCCAAAATAATTTAAGGATTAATAGCACTTTTAATTCTTAAAATATGTATCTTTTGTCAGTTTAATTTTCAATGTATCAATTTTATTAATTTAGCCCCTAAAATATTCATTTCGTATCGTTTTAGCTTTTACATAAACGGAACATTAAATTTTTGATAAAATGATAACGTGTTGAAACGTAACACCATCTAAAAAATGACAGTAAAAAAACTTAGCAATTCGTCTGTCATCCATGAAGGGACCAAAAATATACGAACTGAAACTAAATTAACAAAAAATACATACTTTACGGACTAAAAGTACTATTAACCCGTAATTTAACATAAATTTGTTATTTAGCCATTACAAAAATTAAACAATTCGAAAGATAACCAGGAGTAGATCTGACCTGGAAAACCATGGGCTTGTTTAAATTCACAGAAAAAGCACCTGTGACCATCTTGGCACCTTCTGATGTAAGTGCAAGTAAATTAAAGTTAATACCAAGAAAAAAGCAAGATAAACTCTAATGAGAAGAATGTATTAAGAAATTTTAAAATAAAATATTGTGGTTTTTCTAAGGGATTGAAGAATTTCAATCAATTTCAATTTTTTCCTGAAGTCCCAGAAATCTATAGAATCTGATTCTTTAAAATGACCATTTCTTAGGACTTTCATTTATTTCCTACCAGCTCTCATGATCAACCAGCATTTACTTCAATGCCCCGACTAATCCCTTTTAGTCCATTTTCTGATCCCGTCAAAGGAGTAAATGGAAAATTTTGGATCGAAGATTTTTGTGAGATGACCTATGAATCTTGAGAATTGAGAGTGGGGTTTGAAAACCCTACCGCATTCCGGCCCTAGGGTACCATAGCATGTCGGAAATAAAAGGGGACATACCGGACGTAACCACTCTCCTGGTTGGGGGCTGTATCGCCCCTATCCTTTAAATTGATGAATTTTTAGGTCTTTTTGACTTTCACTGTTGGAAGATTATTAAAGACGACTTAACACGGTTCACAATTTCTTTGTTGGAGGCGCTCAAATTGAATCGCCCTTATTTCGAATTCTGAAATAAGTCCTTGATTTGGGTAATCTTGAGGGATAAATCTCTCATGGTCTGATTTGCTCAAAGGGATTGCTAAAATTCAAATTCTGGACGTCTAAATTTACAGTTTGTCCCTGTTATTACTTAAAGAAAGGGTTAACGAGAAAAGTTAAACCTGCACTAAATCATTTCATGAAAATCTATATCCTATCCTAAGAATATATTAAGAATTAGGGTAAATTATGATTTTCATCCTTAATTCACAGAGCTCATTTTATCCCCATATATACTTTGTTTTTGACATCCTCCCACCAATTACTTGAATTGGTTTCGAACCCTTATGCTGCAGTTTGGAAAAAAATATATTCATGTGCCATTATATATAGGAGAAAACGAAACAAGATCATGTAGTTTGGGAGGTAAAATGAAAACTTTACAAGCAATTTTGTAATGTAAGATACCAAATAATAATACTGATGTTGCAATATAAGAAACATGAAAAACCTTAGGACGATGTCGGGTTGATCTTCAAGCACTTGCCTCAACCCACACTCTGTAATTCTTCTTTCTTTCAATATGAACCAATGCTGGGCATCAAAAGACTGAGGAATTCTGATATATTTAGCCTCCGACGTATTTGTCGGAGGGGAAGGAGACAATGAGAGATTCCTGATAAAAAAAAAACCTTTTTAATAAACCCAAACCTAAATATATGCATATTTGCAAAGCATGGGGTGTTGAAAAGGATTGAGAGATAAACATGGAACCGAGGTTATAGGTGAGCCTTACATTGAACGAGTGCCAGCCATGAACTTATAAATCAATGAACGTTCTTATTCGCATAAGGCTTTTTTGGCCCTCTGTAATTTGAAAGATTTCAAATTTTTTATTTTTTATATTTAAATATTAAATTTACCATATTACATCTTTAATATGTCAAAAATATTATAATGTGGTCATTATGTTTGCTTATGTTATTTTTTTACTAGAAGCCAACCCATCTATACTTACACAAAAATTAACGAAAACCTAACAGAACGACCATATTACAACACTTTTGAAATATTAAGAATGTAATGTGAGAAATTTAATTTATCTTTTAGGGTACAAAGTGAAATTCACCCTTCCCAAAATGGGCCTTAACGATATTTTTGCACAAGTAATTCTATTGTGATCTAAAAATCTGACTTCATTTGTTGATATGATGATGTAATTTCATTAGAATCATTGGATGAAGCGCAAGTTTTAATGTTTAATAAATCAGCCAACAAATGAAGTTAAAATTTTAAGTACAACTAGCATTACTTTTTTTTTTTTTGCTTGTAGTGCATTAAGCCATGATCAATGCTATTTAGACATAATTTAATGACTTAATTCACTATAATTTTTTGATTGACTATGAGCTCCATTAAATATTAGAACTTGATTTTGATCTAATAATTCCAATAAAATTATATCATTATATCAATAAATTAGGTTAAATTTTTAGATTTCAATAGCAGCGGTACTACTTTTCTCTTAATGTGGTACGATTAGTAAATAAAAATGAAAAAATTATACTTTGATCCTTGACTAGATCCATTTTTTATTTTGCTCCCTCAACTATCTCCTTTTTCACATTATAACCTTTACTATGTGTTCATTTTCAGATCATCTTATTTATTAACACTCGTTACAACCTTCGAACTATGTAATTTTCGTTTCACTTTACCATGACACATTGATAATTTTCATTTAGAAAGATCGCGGATGCTTGCAATTGGGATAGTTTGAAATAATTTAAGTAATTTAGAGATAATGTAAAAAAATTAATAATTCAAGAGACAAAGAGAATCGAGTCCATAGTTTATGGGGTCAAAGTATAATTTGCCCCGATAACCTGACACGTTAACACGGTTGGAACTTGATGTGGTACAAATAAAAAAAACAAAATGAGCAGTTAATAAGAATAGGAAATAGGTCACGTTAGTGAAAAATATGAACAATCCAATTTTGATGCGACAAATAGTTTTTGTTGTACCATAAGAATTTTTTTTTTCTGATTTTTTTACTTATTGATCTAGTATTATCATATAATAAAATATTTTTCATTTCATTTTTCTAGAACGCATATCAAGTTGATTTTTAATTTATGAGGGCTTATGTGTGGTACTTTTGATTGAGAGAAAGGAGAATCCTATTTCTGCAGGTTTTTGGGGGATAATTGCTAGGGGATACACTTATAATTACTTATTTGTGTAAATGTACATACTTCAGACTTCTAAGTCATAATGTCTTCCTATCTATATAATAAGATAGCTCGGTTTTAAACTTATGGGGGTATATTTTGCCCCTAAATTTTGCACACCTAACACACTTTTCTCCAAAATTTTACAATCCAAAATTTTACAAACCCAATGCATGCACTCCACAACACACAATTGCACACACATACATGCATTACAACACACAGTTTTACATACATACACATATTCCAACACACACACACACATTCCAACACACACACACACATTATAAACACATTTAAGCTCTACACATATTCCAATACATGCATTGTGTAATAGCTCAGTGTACAATGATTTTAGTCATAAGTTATTATTAGTTCTTAAATATTTTATAACTAGGTACAAATTTACAATTTTTAATATTTTTTCATAACTTAATTGCCCTAAATTTATACCTATTAGAGTTGACAGTTTGTTTATTTATTTTTTGAATTTGTTTTAAAAGATTATGATTTCCTAAATTTATGGATTAAAATCCCATTTGGATTTTTAATTATATTTTTAGTGTCTTTGCCATCAAATGTATTTTTTTTCTACCATCAGACATTAACGTTTTTCTTCTCCAATAAGTATCTGAATTATTCCCCTTCATCAGTGATTATTGGTGGTTGTTCTTGACGGTAATCATAAACCCTTTTTTTTTTCTTTAAATTTTTTAGAATTTCTTGATGAATTTTCTTGATTAGAATCATGTTTTTTACACTAATGATAAACTTTTTTCCATTGATGAATTTTATCTTCATCGAAATTCATCTTCTCCGAATTTTTCAAAACCACCAATCAAAATTTACATTCTCTAAAAATCAGTCATCGAAATACGACTATAGCATAATATCAGGTATGTAGTACTTTTGATTTCATTTTTTTTTATTAATAGACTTAATTATTTTTTAATCACATAGTTAGATTTCTAATAATTTTCTTCTATGACAACGTTATACTCTTATATTAATTGG